CTGTCTGCGATCCTCCTCAGATTCTACGACTTGGTTTATAGCTGCAGAAAAATTGTATTTATTCATTCACTTTTCAATTTCTATTGACAAAAGACGCCGTGGTCTCGAACCCCGTACTTTCACAATACTACGCCAATGTCTTACCCACGTACCCCCACATCTAGACAAAATTGTTACCTTCGCCTTGATCATATGGTACAACTTGCTTCCTACATGCACAAATTTCTTAATTTTTTCTCAGGAAAATAGTCATATCTTCGAACCACGTATCTTGTAAACCATATGCCAGTGCCTTACCAAAGAACTGCTATGGTTATGACAAGTATTCGCCTTCGTCTTCCACATATCCAACCGCTTCGTTTCTACCTTTACAAAGTTCCTCTTTACTACTTGCTTCGTTTCAAAGTCATTTTCCCATTGACGGTTGACCAGCCACTTTGTCTTAATTTAGAGCCCAATCAAACGCTCATGACCAGATCTTAGTCTTGACGTAAGCTTCAGAGTTTGGCCTCTAATACGAATCCTTTCTGATGACAAGACGGGTCTATCCCTTCTCACTTGTCACAGTCAATTACTTTCTATATTTCGTCCTTCCTCCTCTAAACTACATGTCACAACCTTTACAACTATACATACATACTGCACATGGCTTTCTTGGCAATATAATTAAGCCCCCTGTCAGTCCGCGACAGATCCTGCCTTATTTTCATTAGCTCACGCCAGACCGGCAATTTAGTCACCTCAACGATCGAAAGCTTCGCCGCCGCAAAATTTAATCCTGTTCTGTCGGGCTTCGCCTTATCCAGAATTCCGAACATTTGCATTTTCACGATCTTCTGTGGCTTCTGGTTGCTGACCGCTCTGCGCCTTGCGATAGTGCTGTTGTCGCGGAGAACCTTGATTTCTAAGCGCTGCACTTTCGAAACGTGGGTATTTGCCACAAATCCCAAGGCAAGCATACGGTATTGCAGACATAAATAATGCTCTGTGGACGGTACATTTGATCTTAGAACTTAATCTCTCACTTATCAATGAAGGACATGCCCTAATAAATGTTGTGAAGACATTGGATTCGATCATTTCTGTATCTAATCCTCTTACCGAGAAATATACACATATTGTACATGACTCACGAAGGGGATTCTTCGTCCGTTCAATATGAGATGACACCCAACCGATCTAACTCTCTTGACATAAAATTTCATTTATTTTGTTCCAGCGCCTACACTGCGTCTCAATCGCATCCGGACATCGCTGCAGCGTTCTGAGGACATACCCTTCTTTGCTCTCAGTCGCATATACGTGTACATACGTGCCAGCAGCAACCACACCTAGATATACACTAGCATTTTTGAGGGGGGGTAGGTTCATTTATACATACGTTGTACAATGCGTGGCACTCCTTTTCTCTTGGCGTAAACGTTTCGTTTTCGACCGAAACTCTTAATTTTCTCTCGGCAAAAATGTGCTAACAGGTTTGATTATACTAATGGAAATTTTAATTTGAACTTATACGCACTGTTGTATGGTCCCTGGCCGCAGAAAAATCTCCACTGCCTCTTATAGCCACCCACTTGTACATTTACTTCTATGAAGTTCTTTATTGCCTACAGGTACGGAATTCTACACTGATGGCATACATCACAACCACTTTCATTGTGCTGATTCTGTGTAAACAGCTGCTCAGTGACCAAACAAATTGGCATTTCATGACACCCGCGACCTCACTGCATTGTTCTCACAGCAGTGTCCCTTATTCTGAACTACACGACTCCTGCGCTAGCTTCCCACGCCTCGTCACGTGGTATTTGTGGTGGGAGCAAAGTGGCGGTAGGGCAGATTTCAAGTACCTCGATTTTCCCTGCCAATCTTCGCTCCACCAATTGCTCTACAATCACCATCAACTAGGATTGGTACAATAATCCATAAAAGGCTTGTAATTTTGCACTAATGAGTTTTTAATTATCCTCAGTTCTTCGCCTGGTACAGTCCGTGCCATGCAGCTTGCTCAAAAATCAATCGAAAATTTATATGCACACAAAGAAATCAACAGCCAATAAACCCGGACCTACCAGCTGAGTGCAGATAAAAAAAAATATTTTTCAACTCGTCATCATTAATCCGAAAGGGAATTAGTGCCAAGGATATTTTATTAATATTTCATATAAAATATTGTATTGTTCTGCTTTTCACCTGTGAGAGACGTAATTCGTTCTCTCTTACTTTCTCTCTTTCTCTACCCCCTGTCCCTCCTTATTTTCTTGAAGTTGAAGTGCTGTGTAAATTAAGTTCTCGTAAGAGGAAAGGCCAACGGGTCCCCCTTTATCTGCTCTCTGTTTACACGCCTCTACTCAGGTTTAATTGATTATGGCAGACTGTTCTTGTGTAAGTTTCAGTATTAATTAGCGGTAGATAAGGTCTATCCAGAAAAGATAAAATGGCGGACGGAAGCCACCTACCGTGCTATTCCTGTAATAAATAATGCGGCTGGAATTATCTTGGTGTCGCTGACTAGACATGCCGCTCGCTCATGTCCCAGAGATGTTTCTTGCTCTTTGCTAATTAAAGCAGCGGAGCTCCCAACATTTTGACAAGCTTCTAGAGCAGGCATGTCAAACTCAACTTGTACAGAGGGCCACCTCAGCCCTATAAATAATAGTTCAGGGCCGCACTTCAAAATAGACATATATATTAGATTTTGATACAAGGAAATTTAATTCTATTTATTACTTAGGAATAATTTCAATACAATTACCTAAAGTCACATATCTTACGTTTTAAAAAGCAAGAGAATGCCATTTTTGACAAGTATCAAACAGCTTTTCAATATGTAAAAAGAGAGATTACACAAGAAATTATGTTAGAAATAGCAAAACATTGAATTTCCTGCAGCCTGCTAATTTATGTCTGTGTGAGTCTTCTTGTCTTCTGGTCTTTTGGAAAACTGTCTTTACAAAAAATATTTCTACTAAAATTTTAATATTGATTTTAATATTAATTAGCTGTAAAAGTTGAGGGGCCGCATGTTTTGACATGGCTGTTCTAGAAGCCCGCTGAATTCTGCTTGTGTACAGCAGTGCAACCTACTACTACAGGCGTACAAATTTGGTTATAATCCTTGCAGGATCAAAAAGAAAAGTAAGTAAAAATGAGTGATTTATCTGATATAACGCCATGTAGTCTGGTAGATGTTTATCAGCGTTTTGGTGGAGCGTTCTACCTTCATCTTCAGAAGAGAACAGAGTTGAAACAAGTTGTACAGCTATAGAGAGAGCGACAAAGTACTTCATGGGGCAGGGGCTTCTTGATAGCCATAAGATTCAACTGTCACACAGACTTATATTTAAAGCCGTTTTACTTCTTATTTCTTATTATGCACTACACCTTTTGAACGTAAACGGTCATCTTCACGTGGGTTTGGGGGTGTTTACCAGCGCATCTCTTTTTCAACATATCGACCCCTCCGCCTTTGTCTTCTGAGTTCTTCGAGAGCCACCAGCTCCTGCTGACAGCCGAAGGAAGGAAGAAAGGAAGGACAGTGGAAACTGACTTTATTAAAATATTTTCTATTTCTGCTCCAACAGCTTCATTTATTATCAAATGTAAGAACTTCAACTTCAGCTTCTCATCTCGTTTTTGTGAGATTCACAGGACTGCAATGTGAACAAGTATTAAAGGCAGAATATTACAATAATTTGATGCTAAGGTAAAAATAACACAGTTTACCATTTCAGGGAACATCAATGAAATATTTGGAAATGTGTTAGATGAATCATCAGCTACACACACTGTAGTCACTGTGCAACAAGTGGGTCTGAACATGGTGAGAAGAGGAGGAAGTTTCCACTCATGCTAGGATCCTAATCTTCCTAGTTTTGTCACTAGTTGGTCATAAGTCACTATCTGAGCTGTCTGGTCTCATTGTCTATGCCTCTCAATCATAAATAAATAGCTGTGCTTTGGTTTCATAGCTACAAAGTTTTCTCCTGTCTTACGAACCAGGTTGGTTCTTATATAGTAAGTGTTTGTGTTTGGTGTGTTTACTCTCTGGATGCTGACTCCACAATACACTGATTGTAGATCTTCATGAAGTTCAAGAGACTGTGAAGAGTTACTGCAAATGGTTTAGATTTCATTATCTCCTCTTTTTACTCGTATCATTAACTGTTCATGTTTCACAACCTCTAGAATACCTACAGCAAAATATATAAAATTTTAACACACACTGTATTATGGGCTTGAAAATGCACTGATATCACCTGCCATTAGTGATTATGGCAATTCTTGTTTTCTCCTGTCTTCTTATGTTATCTGTTTGAGAGCTTCTTAATGCTCTAATAGATGTACGATGTCTGGAAGGAATGTTGCTTTCACATATTGGCTTCAACACCACAACTATTTGTCTTAATATAAAATAGTGTAAAATGACTGTTTTTATGTGAAACTTTTAAGCCTGGGAATACAGTCTGTCTGTATATTTACCACGCAAATCTGCATATGAAATTCATACATGGTATGTCACTACTCCAGATTAAAATCCTTCTGGTTATTCCCTTTCCTTGGGATCTAATCACAACAGATCATCTTGAAAATTGTTAAATTTCTTTAGTTCGAAAGCAACAGGAATATGATTTTGAACAGATGAAATAATATTCTCTTTTAATTTACTGATTTCATTGTGCGTTTTAACTCAGTCCCTACCCTTACTTCTTCTGACACTGATAATCCTGAATTATGCCATCAGTCATGGTGACCATACACCTTCCAAATAGAGCAGAGCTGCTTGAGTCAGTCGTACAGCTGCCGTAACCTCTCTTTACTTCGTTTATCCCGTCCTTTTCCCACCGGTTGTCATTTGTTTCCATTACCACGAGAATCACTGTGGAGGCGTCGAAGAGGGATAACCTCACCCCGAGTAGAGATGGCAGTGTCGATACTTGAATTGACATGCCTACAGCTACTAGACTGCCAGAGAACAGCAGAAGCAGATGATGAATAACGTGCCACATTTGTAGTGTTACGGTATGATCCTGATCTCCATCTGTGTATTTTCTGATGTCTGAAATAAAGAAACTTAACTTTAATTTCTTCTGTCTTGCCGTAGCTTTTCATCATGATGATGCTGACATGCCTCTTACATTATAACAGTGCTGGTTGCTGATCTAATTCAAACAGTTCCTGCATGTTTCCTATGGCACATAATGGAGAAATAATTATACAGGGAGATTTTTTTAGTAACTTGATGAGTTCATAGCTCTGCGCTTCATGGCGGCCTGTGGGCCTCCTGCTGTGAGGCACATATGAATTATGCTGATGAATCAGCTGATAACGTTTGAAATGAAGGGAAGTAATTAACTTGTAGACTTCTTCATTTAATTATATTTCACTGCAAGCAGTGCGGTTCATGTGTGAGAGTTTGTTCAAGATTTGTCAGCAGTAGGCAGCAGTTATCAGCTCTGTTCTCAGTTACAGTAAGTTAGCGTCATAGTGCAGTATACTTTAGAGCAATGTGTATTTCTGTATGATACCTATGTGAAATATGGATCTGCTGAAAAGTGTTGGTGAAAATTTTAAGATAAATTTTGTGATGAAAGAGTTCCCAGCAGACAAACAATTCACAGTTTGATGAATAAACTTCGAAGAATGGGACTCTTAATAGAAAAGAAACAAAAGAATAAGTTCTTACTGAGCAGAAGTTAGATGACATAAGGTCCAGACTTGAAGAGACACATAGAAAATCACTGAAACGTCTAGCTAAAGAGATTGGAGTGTCAAATTCTAGTGCAAGAAGGATTGTTGTACCTGTGTTTTTCAATGAAACAATTAATTGTGAAAAATATGTAGAGAGGACAGCATTTTCAACACCTCCTGTGATCTGCGAATTGTAACTACTTCATTCTAAATCTTATCTCCCATCAGGCATGCTGATTCAATGGCAAAATTTGCATGAGCCTTGCAGCAAGTAGTGCACCAGTCACTATGAAATGCAGAGCCATGAACTTGTATAGCTGGTATAAAACCTCCCTGTAGTAGTAGATATTAAAGTACTTGTGGGAACATCCCACATTATCACGCATTTCTGCAACGCTCGCTCTTCACATCACTTTTCACCATCACGCGCGCTAACCAATCAGATTGCTTCAAACGATCGCATTTATACTACGCTCGGCGATAGCCCGCGTCTACACCATTACGCGCGCTAGCCAATCAATTCTTGCTCCTCACTTTCGAGTTTGGCTCCGCCCCACCGACCAGCGTATAAAAAGGAGCGACCCCAGAGCCGAGTTATGCAGTTCGATTCAGTTCACTTCAGCAAGCAACTTCAGCCAGCAGGCTTCGTCGCCAGCGCTCGGTCTTCGGAAACATCGGCAGGCTGCGCCGGGCACGACTGCCTCGGCCCTCCAGCGCTCTCACACCCGACTCACTGGGGCACAGCGCCTGGACTCGCCGGTGGTCGCGTTACGGTCCGACCCACTGGGCCTCTGGCGTAGCCACTGCCTCATGGCTCCTACAACCGCGCTCGACTAGCCTTTCACCACCGGCAGCAACCTCCGCCATTTGCCGCGCCGCGATCAAGCAACCTCCAGCCACGGCCTAGCCTTTCCACTAGCCTTTCACCGCAGCAAGCCTTTCTCCTTACCGGCGCGCGCCACGCTACCTCACCGGTCAATCATCTCAGCAACCACGGTCCTTTTCAGGGCCAACAAATTGTTCCGAAGAAGTGGGTTGTCATAGGAGTAATGACAAAGACACACGTTGACACGAGTGCCCCACATACTAATTCAAATCTTGCGTTAATATGTATACCAATCTAGAGAAATGAATTGTGAGTTGTAACTGAGACTTTTTTGTGTGCTATTCTTTGTTTAGAGGACTATCATATCTTGAAGAAAGAAGTATTTTACATCTGAAAGCAAGCATGTTCACGTCATAAAACCCGGTGTTCTATTGGAAAGGCTGATTGAATACATTATAATTATGTGACACTTGAGGTGTTAATAGCAAGCAGTGTTCATTGCATTACCTTCTGGATGTAGCCCCAAGTCAAGAAATGCAAACACTACCAACATTTTGAAAGAACTACTGCTGTCTGCTTCGGGAACAAAGGGATGAAACAAATGTGTGGGTTTGTCAGCCCTTTACATGTTGGAGAAGTTCCTGAGTTACATTCATTTCTGTGCTAAAATTTTGAATTCTCCAGTTTATTCATATACATATATATATATATATGAGTCAGCTACAGTGAAAGAGTCACTCCTGCCAACTCTGATCACTCAGGAATTAAAGTAGAATGGAGTACATGTATGGCAGATTGAAGTGGATAACATCCACGACACTGAAAGGCAGGAGGTGCTGGTGGAATTTGTTGGAAACAACATGCAAAGGGTCAATATTGTGATATTTTAGTTAAAACTATGCACACTCAACCCTTTGACCTTGAAAGAGGCATCAGGTTCTGCCAAGAGGAAAAGCTTTCATTCCTTAATATGTGACCCAAAAGGTAACACAATGAGTAATTATAATTATATTTTTGATTGCATTGAATGCTGGTCGCCTTGTTCAGTTGGCATTACAATAAAGCAAGATGTCCTCTAAAATATAGAGGAATAAATTCTTACCTTTTACTAAGTGCAAATAAAGTTGCTTCGTTTTTTATATCCTGCTCAGTGTCAATCTCATTTCCATCATCACAGTGACAGCTCCCACCATCTTCCTGGAGTTTCCCATTCGTCTGTTCCAGTCTTGGATACAGGTTGTAGTCAAGATCACAGCGACTACAGTTATTTGCATATGTCGAGCCTATATAAAACACAAAAGTGTTATTGTACATCTTCTTGTTTTCCCATGACTACAACTTTGTACAGATAAGTTGTAGGCAGAGTTAATGTACTGTTCTGAAGAAAATTCATGCAAGATATATGAAGCTATATACTGCCATACAGAAAATATGGGTCCAAGTTACACTGACCTCAATTGAAATACTTTTCTTATAGTTTCAATAGTCAACACTTCGACCAAAAATCAGACATGTACACAGAAAATTATTTACCTTTCACATCATTGGTAAGAGAAAGAGGCTTATAATGAAATTAGGAGAATGAATTGTATAAATGTTGTTATTCAGCTTAAGGTCTTATTCTTAAGCTACTGATTGAACACAGCTGCATCACAGGGTGTGGAGGCAACCTTATGGATCAATGTTCAGAGGTTGCACACTTTCATACAACCTCCACAAAATAAATAAAACATATGTATCTGTAAACACTCACAAAAATACATCTCTAACAAGCTAACACAGAAGAAAGAAGTGTGTGTGTGTGTGTGTGTGACATTGCAACCAATTTATTCAAGTATTGTGAAAATAACATAATTCCATTTCTGACTGCCTGACATAATCCACCCAATCTGTAGCTCTCCTTGGTATATGACTTCTATCTGCTATCTCTAACAGTACCAATACTAAGATCAACAGTAATAGTAATAATAGGATTATCATAACTGGGGATTTAGGACTTTTAAGAACGGGAACAAAGCAGTATCTGTGTGTATGTGTGCGCACACTGGCCCATATGTGTGTCTGTCTGTGTGTGTTCATGTGTCTGTTTGCCCTGCCCATGCCTGCATGCATGTCTGTTTCTCTTTTACAGAGTATAATGTGCATATCTCTGCATGTGTTAGTGGATGCATCTGTGTCTGTATGTTTGCATGACTGTGCATGTTTGTGTATGGACACATACCAATCCTGCGTAAGTCTGTGTCCCCATCACACTATGTGCATGTATATCTCTGTGTGTGTCTCCCTCCATATGTATAGAACTGCTTGGTACTGTGTGTGTCCATGTTTGCATGTATGTGTGAGCATGCATGTGCATCTGTCTGAATTTGTGCCTGTATGTCTCTGTATCTGTCTCTCTCTCTCTGGATGCATGTGTGTTCATGTGAGTGTGAGTGCATGTTTCTATGTATGTTGGTTTGTGTGTTTGTCTGTATCTAGCTCTGTGTGTGCTATGTCGGTGTCCATCTGTCCATGTGTGCTTGTGTTGGCCTGTGTACTTTACTTGCCTCTCTGCTGGTTGATATCATAATGATGCACACAGAGACAGGCATGTAAAGTGAGTCACGTGCAGACACGCTGAGAGTCACATGCACACACAGTCACATACTCACATGCAGATGGATATCCAGAGAACACACACACACACACAAATTGCTTTGTTCTTGTTAAAACTCCTAAATCCTTCATTGTGATAATGCTTCTATTACTAATATTATCAATCTCAGTATTAGTACAAATATTAGATTAAAAAATATACAGCTATCCCTCCAAGCACTTTGTTCTGATGGGAACATTTTTCATTTCAATCCAAGAAGGAACAAGATAAGATGGAAATAATTGAGAATTTGTAGAAGTACTGTGCAAATAATGTCATTCAGTTTCTCATCATGCCTGTCATGCACTATGCTACAAGATGAATGGTCATGGGTTCAATTCCTGATGACATAATTCGATTTTTCAATTGATCTAATCCTTCCAGTCACACTATAGCCCCATAGGGTTGGGAGACGTTGAGGCTCCCATATTTTCTAGACAGTCAGCTCACAGATGGCAGTAAGGTTGTCAGCCTTATGCGCTGGTCACCCTTTACCCCAAGGAAGACTCCTGGTATTCATTTCTGTTAGAGGCTCAGCTGACCTCAGGGCTGTAGTGTAGCTGAAAGGATTAGATCAATTGATAAATCAAGTGTATATATATATCAAATGCAATCTTTGATATTTTGCATTCCTCTATGGCCTTGGTACAGCATACCTTTGATGACCATATTATAGTTACAAATCTACTGCTGAAGGCTAATCACAATGAATAGTCATACATAATTTGTCCTTATATTTTTACTAAATATTTACCATGCTGAAAAATGTTTCAATCAGTAGCCATAGTTCTTAAGGAGATCTATATTTTATGTCATAATGCTGCAGTCAGTCATCAGGGTTTCTATAACTTTAGATGAGTTAGTCTTGTCACAAGTGATATGGAAAGCAAGGGTTAGTTTCAAATGATGAATCAAATGGATATGATGGACAATCCCTCCCACCCAGTACAAGTTACTGCCAAGGGTCCGCATCTCAAAACATGCAGCGGACCTGCCATAACCTTACCCAGTGTGGAGGAGTACGTACGGCGCTGGTCCATTGTCAGTGACAGCTTGCAGGAACGCTTGAATGTCCTCAGACCCCGCCGTGCTGGTCCCAGGAATGGTGCTGTTGAAATGGTGTACAGGACAGGGTTCACAGCTGCATTCAATGGCAGGACAAATACTGCTACCCAAGCAAACACCTTGAACAAAAATTGAAGACAGAAAATGAAGACATACAGACATACTGTACACAAATCAGGTACAATACTTAACATAAAGCAAATTACTATATTATTTAACTGATTCTTTTGGGAGTTCACTTATGACTGTCAGCATCTGAATTATATAGCATCAAATAGTGGGATGACTGGTGATTAATGAATTGGAATGATACAGTCATGGCCTGATCAACATACTGTCACATCATTTGTCTGGAGGGACTATGGAACACCATTACAAGAGCTCAGCCAGGACAGCCAGTGTGCTGGCTAAAACTGAAATCCCTAAACACAAGTCTGGAGCATTACTGCTACACCAACCTGCTCAGTAAATTGGTTCCTGAATTCAATTTAACGAGATAAGTATCTTCTAAAGTATATAGTTTATCAAAAATCTTAAAACATATCACTGCCACCTTTTTGTTAAATGAAAAATTAGGTAAACTTCTTCCTAAAAATAAAGCACTGCTTCACCACCTTGTGTTTATATCTGCTTCAGTGCAGTTACTGATACAGTAATCACTAATAATTCTGAAATATGGTTATCAACATTGGGTGCAGTTTTAAAATTAGATGCTAAAATGCAATTATTTTCTGTGCCTAAGGCAGTAGAATATACTGAAATTAGATGACCCAAATCATGCTTGTCATATTAAAATGTAAGTGTATAAATTAACCCAATAACTATTTCATTTTCATTTCATTTTTATTATCATTCAACAATCCACACATACAGGTATTACAACCATTTGGATATGGAAATTGTCAGTTTTACATCTAAATCTTGTGCATATCTTTACAGAATACACTGTACCACCCTAATATAGGGGGTTTGTCGTCTGAATAATATTATCTAAATCTAGTTACCATTAATTTCATTGTCTTTACACAAATACAACAAATTAATCAGCTACATATTACATTTACACACTTGATGAATCAAAAGACATAAATTCATCTACAGAATAAAAGGAATGTTTCAGCAAAAAAGATTTTAATTCCTTTTTAAATGTGTTAATATTTCCTCAAAGCATAGTCTTTATTGAAAACCTGGAAGTCATTTGTGTCTGCGATTGGCTGAGATCACTCACATGATTTTTAAAAACGTACATAGATGTGCCTATTTTACTATGTCAATCCCTGAATATGAGTGGAACAGCACCAGGGTCTCTTTAAGTTTTAAAAAACAGAACATTTTATAAGTAAAATTTGGTAAATTTACACTAAGTAAGTAAATAAATAAATAAATAGCAAAATCATATTCTGATCTTCAGTATGTAGATTGGCTGATAACAATTCTAACACCAAATTATAACAAGCATTTTCAGAATTTATTATTCTCCTTATTTTATTTTGAACCTCACTAATTTTTATTCCAAGACATATTTATTTAAGCATGTAAATAATTACACATAGTTTTATGATGACTTTATTGCTATTATGCTTTTGCGACATTTTTGGTATTTATGGTTATATTTAATTTTTGTGCTACAATTCTCATGCTCAGATGGTGATCATTTCATACAAGAGTCCTCACTTTTACCATATTCTAATCAGTTTTCAGTGTGACTGGACAACCAGGTTGTAGATCATCTTCCACCTCTTCCCTTCTTTATAAAAATTTGTTGTACCATTCAGAAACATATGCCCTAAGCAGGATGTGTTCTCCACACATATGAGGTAACAACTGGTACATTTCAGAGGCAATTTGTTTCAGTTTTGCTAAAAATCATATGTTAATATATTAAATTTTTCATCCTAACGTATTTTTGATATGCAACAAAACCTCTTCTTCACATAAAGTCATCCCATTCTACACTAAGGGAACATGTTCAAATATATACACAACACAAATCTAGGGGTAGAATGCCTGGCTGGCAATCAACAACCACTCATTCTGCTTGCCAATGGGGGAAATAGTCTGACAGCTGTGCATGCAGTTTTGTTATGTAATAACTACACCTTGCATATTTACTTTCAGGCCAATTTCTTTACTAGCCTGCGGGCTAATTACTGAGTTATTCTTTCTGTTACTTTTAAATATACTGAAAAATCTGACCTGGGAGGGAGAAACTTCACTTAAGAGTTAATTTAGCAGTAAGAAATATATAAAAGCAACAGAATTATGTTTACCTGTGGAGGTACAGTGATCCCACCTAGTGAGAGAACCCCCAGAAGAATGATAGGCATCCAGCAAGCAGCATCAGTAGCCACAATGAGGGTCATGCGTCGAGCCATAGCATTATCTGATGGGCGTTGTTCCTTCTGCACAGCCTGCTGAGTTGTTCGAGCCACTACATACATCCACAAGTAGCCCAGAGCGATGATCGAGAATGATATTAAGTTGAGAACTGAAATTTACACATATCAGTAGCATAAATTATCAGGAAGATAAAAATAAGACAGAACGGGTTTTAAATGTTATTACTAATTTTTGCAATTAATTTAATATTAAATTTTATAATGTTGTTATATGATGCTAAATTTGATGTATCATCAACTTGATGGGAACTTGATGACGATGATAGACAAGAATAATACATAAGTAACAAGCTTGTTTACGCACAACAGACCACTGTAGGTCGCGGTGCAAGGGCCAAGAAGGCCCACATTCAACAAAGCTGTTTGAACAAGGTAACTACTGACCTTGGTGTGGTATGAAATCCACTCAGTGGCACGTTATTGGGGCTAAGCGCCCCCCCCCCCAAAAAAAAAAACCAATAACACAATACCAGTAAATAAGAACATGGAAACCAGCAGCCCGAGATAAAAGGCTAGATGAAGAACATATCAAACCAGTGATACACAGCAGAAGTAAATAAACAAAAGGAACAATCGAGACCACAATTTAGAAAATAGACGCTCATTTCCCAGTACAAAGTCACCAGAATCTCTGTCTAGCTGCCTGACTGACACTGTCATGAAATCTAAATCCTGAATGAATGGCTGTTCACTGGCAGGCAGAAAGGAGCTGGGTTGGACATAGAGACAGTTACGGGCTGCTGTGGAATAAACATTACACAAGGACAGGCAAGGCATGGGTCCAGTTTTTAAACTATACTTCAATAGCTCAGTCAGTAAAGTGACTGGTTATGATTTTTGTGCATTCACATATCTCTGTCTTAAATGCAACTTATTATCTAGCCACCCTTATTTCTTATTACACGTTTCAGCTGTACACAGCCATCTTCAAGTGTTGTCTTATCTTGCTAAAATTGTTGCACTGTATGTCTATACAAAATATATATTAATGGAACAGCATACTTAAATACAATATTATGACTGGTTATGAGTTGGATAATTGGGGTTTACTCTCCTACAGAGGCATAGAATCTAGATCAATTCTGAAGTCTACCACCCTTTGATCCAATATGTTCTGGAGGTCATTCCTCCAGTTGTAAAGCAGCCAAAGCATGAAGCCTCACTCACCCCTATCTAGTATCAAGATTAAGGATGTTTAAAATGAAAATGTACTCACATAAGAATACAAAGACAGAATATTCCCAGCCACTTGGCTTTTCAGGTGTGATGTGTAGAGCCAGGCATACTCCGGATCTCCCATAGAAATTCCTGTTACAGAGAATAAACAGCACATATAACACGTGCACACACATAAAATGAAAATGGAGGGATGATCATCACACAAACAAATATTATTATTATGTGAGAATTGAGGGATGTGGCATCATGTAGATATTGTGTAAAGCAACGTTTCAGAGGAATGTCGGTTTACACCATATCTACACGACACCACATCCAAGAAGATGGCATCTTCAATTATTATTATTATTATTATTATTATTATTATTTGATTCACAACATATTTCAGCCCAGACAGGCTATCATCAGGTGGTTCTTGAGGAATATACAAATGGTGATAGAATATATTTGTATATTCCTCGAGAATCACCTGATGTTGTGTTTCAACCAACAAAAACATTTGTTTGTGTGATGATAACCTCTCCATTTTTATTTGTAAGCACCACAAACAGAATGCAACGATACAAGACATGTAGACATCACTGAACTGTGAGAATACTGATCTTGAAATCATTCAAAGGCTTCCACTAACATTTACAATAAATGTATTGATCAAGAAGACAGAGATTAACGGCTGTGTGGACTTGTGCTGACCATGCAACACACACTATCCTCTAAAGTTAGCATTAACTTCGCTGACAAGCGGCAGTTTGGTCAGTATAGTTTTCTTGCAGACTAAAACCACGGAGTTTGTTTATATTGATCAGTAACTAATGATATGATGAAAGAAGTGGAGCAAATATCACATATACCTCAGGCAATAAGCAATGTTTAGCGTAACAGTAATTTAATGAACTGATTGTTTTCTCAAACCCTAGGAGAATAATGTGCAGAAGTTTTTCTTCTTTTGGTCTGTGTCTGGCATTTCACCAAAACGCATTCAGAATAATCAATACACAGCTTTACACCTACTAATCTGTTGCACTGTGGGTAAAAGACGAGGTACATTTACAACTAATAGCTGTGTGTCAGAAATATAACTGCAACTCGTATAGGATAGGATGCAGAGATGGTCTCTTGTCAACATAGTAGCAAATCTATTGGGTTCCATAAAAAGGTGAGGACTTTTTCAATCAGCAAAGTGCGTATCAGAGTCATGGAGTTAATTATTATGTTCCATCTTGTGTGACAAAATGAACAGATGGCAAGCATACTAACCGAAAATAGTCAATGCGTAACAGAGGTAGACCAGACAAAATGGCTGCTCCTAACCATCCCAATGCCATCAGCAGTCTTGTCTTTGGCATCTCCAAACGACGCACTCGGAATGGGAAAATGATGACTAGAAAACGGTCCAGTGTGATGACTGCCACAGAACACAGAAATTGAGTTCTTTGTTACAGATATGTCAAGTGTTAATATAATGCTGTGTTTTAACATTAATTCTTCCACTTCGGTTTCTGGAAACAAACCAGTATGCAAATACCAAGTATGAGGAGCCTACAACATTTCTTAGGTAGACTGTCAACAAAGACTCAAATTCAAAACATATAGCAACAGTTTGTAACTAGTTATGCTGTACTGTTATACATATTCAATACATTCTTCTTCTTCTTCTTCAGCTTTCATGTTGTTCTGGTATTTTAATTAATTAAAAAATAAAGCATCTTCTAGATATTAGGTAAGACTCCTTGGAAAAGATACTGATCCTAGTAAGAGTACAAAAAAAAGAGCCCTGGACATACACACATCAACATTTCAAGCAGGAATCAAATAAAATAATTTTTAACACCCCATTATATTTGATTAATCTTGGCCAACTTTTACTCTGTCACCTTTGTATGAACTACTTGAAATTCTCGGTAATAATGAGGAGACAGAGCAGGAAGAGGGGGAGAAGGAGAAGGGTGAAAAGGATGATTATGAGAAAAGGAAGGAAAGAAGTAGAAGGAAGAAGATACAGAAGACAAAAGTAGAAACTGGACAGCAGAAGAGGAGGAAGAAGAAAATGTAGCCAAAATAAGACAAGAAAACAAGGGGAGTTATGGTTCTTATGTTATGTGCATCCTCGCCATAGCTCAAACAGTTAGTTGTTGGCTTCTCACCACGGTGGCCCAGGTTTGATCCCAGGTCTGGTCAAGTGGGATTTGTTGTGGACAAAATGGCGCTGGGGCAGGTTTTCTCTGAGTACTTCTGTTTCCCCTGCCAATCTTCATTCCATCAATTGCTCTACAATCACCCTCACCTATCATCTGGGGCTGGTACAATAGGCCAGAAGTGGCTGCAGTTCAAGGGACTTAGGCCCACCACAGTAGCAAAAAAAAAAAAGTTATGTCATGTGCATACGTGTCTTATTCCTAAAACCATCACTATATGAACCCACCTTCTTCCTCATAACCAGAGAGTGAGGAGCTACAGTGAATATTATGCCTGCCAAATGCTACTTACCTGTAAGTGTAAACACAGAGAGCTCACTGGAAAAGGTACTGATAAAACCTGCCAGATGGCATAGTTCACTGCTTCGCCAAGTGGAATCATGGATGAAGTACACACCACGGTAGCGAGCATCCACTCCAGCAATTATAAGCAGGTATGAGCCCATGAACATATCTCCAATAGCCAGATTTGTGATCAGGAATGAGTGTACCTAACAAAGAATATACATTCTAAATTTGTAATAAGCAAGAATAAATTGTTTCAATATTACATTAAGGTTAAATGATATTTATAGGTTTATGCTTTGTGACTCAGTGCCAAAAGTTTAGCAACTTGAAAGTCTAGTGGTATATATGAAGTTACTGTAAATTATTAATTAAAAAATTGCAGAAACTTAAATTGTGGAAGCAGCTGAAATACCTGTATCTGTATTTTTATGTGTTCTTTATGCAAATATCATGAAATGAATGGATGACAGAAAGGTAATGCTTCTCTGCTAGTCCATATATTTAATGTCCAAAACTCCAAAACTACTACTGGAAGTATTTGGATTTGATATTAGATGTTCATCCAATTTAAATTTGGTCTATACAAACAGAATGCTTGTTACACATTCATCTCATATTAAACTAACAGTCTCACTAAAACTCAGAATTACTGGGTTTCTGGACTTTGTTCATCATCTGGTATTCTAATAACTAGTAATTCTGAGTGTAATACACCATCATCAGAACCCTTTAGAATCTACTCTTGCTAAAACTCAGGATGTATCCTGAAAATTTAATACTTTGCCCCTCTGTCCAGAAATTCTTTGCCTTTTATGGAACCCAAATGTTCATTACCATGTTCACAAAACTTCCATCCTGAGCCAGCTGTAACATAGTCTAACAATCTATTTAGCTAACGTCCATTTTTAATATCCTGCTCCCATCTATTCCCCACAAGTGGTCCCTTCACTTGAACTTCTGCAACTTAAAAAATTCTGTATATGTTACACACAAAGTAGGGTGCCTGAAATATTCATGTGAAGGGTGAAATTTGCATTCTAGGATCCAAATATTTCCTCAGCACTCTGTCCCCATTCACCCTCCATTTTCTTCCGTCAGTGTCAGAGATTACATTTTACAATCATACAAACCAACACATGAACTTCCAGTTCGGTTTATTTAATAACATTAAGCTTTCAAGATATGATACAGAGTCATAAAGAGATTCTGAATATCTCTTATAAAAATGTTTGTATGAAGTATATATAAAAAGCAAATGAGTAAGTTGATTTTGTTATCTTGCCAGTATATTCAAGCTGCACTCTTTTTTAAGTGCTGATCTAAGGTATTCTGTTACCTGATTTGTATGTTTGAAACGTATGCGCCAAGCAATAACCAAGATGTTACCAAATGTGGCCAGCACACCCAACACCCATACACAGATGCGCAGCACCAGATTTGACATGAGATCTTCACATGATGAGAATTCATCAGGAGGAGGAAGGCATAGCTCCACATGTCTTGCCAAGCAGCAGAACCGGAACTCATCAGTTATCCTTTACATTTCACACAATTCAATCAGAGCATGAACGAAACTGTGAACGTTACATTGTTTCTAGTTGCCTTCTTAAGCAGTAAAACTAATTTTCAAGTATCTCACATATTTCATAATTTTTAGGTGCTTATGTTGATTGTTTCAAGATCTGAACCAGTCACTTCATGAATAGAAGTATACAGTGTGACTGCTCCACTAACCTCCTGGTGGCATAACTAATCTTATGCAGTCTTCATACATTATGACTCACGAAATAACTATTTAATCTTGGTCTTCCCACTCTCCTATTTCCTTCTGGTTTAGTATTAAGTATTTCAAGTTCAGAATACCAATATATTTAATAATAAGCCTTATCTAAACTTCATGAGTGAGAGCTTTCTAGAATTTCATTATTTAAATGTGATGACTTTATCATAATGTTACGAACCATGAATAAAAATTTATGACATCTAACAAGTGTACGCTTATAATAAGATACTGAAATTAAATGTAACTTACAATTTATTGAGTGATGCTACACTCCGGAACACATTACTGCTTATTACGTTGATTGTGTTGCTACTCAGATCCCTGATCAAATAAACATTCAAATTAATATCTGAAACAGGTTATGTGATGTTGCTTACATATGTCATTATATTTAGCCAGAAAACTGTAAATGTTTGCAACCTGGAAATAAGCATTTAAAAGTAGTACCAGACGGATAAATAAATTTAATGTCTATTAGCAGTTTTGGTACTAAAGTTATGTTTCAAGTAATGTCTAAAAATTAACTGACTCACTGACTGACAGGCACATAAGCAAACAATCTACTCATTCAGCCAAAGTCCTTCTTGAGAAGCTAACAGAAACTCAACTATTTTAGAAATACCTTGACTTTTAATACTCAAAGTTTTTTCAATAAGTTCACAACAGCCCACAACTTGGCACCATCCTAGGCCACATTAATCCAGTGTATATCCTCACAATGTATTTCTTTAAAAAAATCATCTTTTTTTTTTAACCATTTATATCTGGATCTTTGTGACAGACTTATGCCCCTTCCAAGGAGTCCTACAAACTGTGTAAAGGATTAGGAAACTGAAAAAAGTGTCCACAGTCCAACAAAGGATTGTAGAGCCATAGATAGATAGATAGATAGATAGATAGATGTCTAGGTCTTAAAATTGGTATATTCCTTTCAGTTTTTCTGACCTCTTCTGTATGCATTTCTGATTTCTTTTAAGTGTATGAAATGCTATGTGTCCACTCATCTAATCCTAGCTGACTTTATCATCCTAATAATATCTTGCAAAGGGTACAAATTATGAACCTCCCAATTATATCATTTTATCCACCTTCCTGTTACTTTCTCATCTTAAACCTAAATATTCCATTTTTGAACAAAAATGTATATTATCTGCTGGCTCAGTAAAGCTATTATTTCATGCAACCTGCTGTATTACCACTAACTCATATTTGCAAATTCTTATGTTACTGTTTTCAACAACTCTGACCTATATAGACTCCTGGCATAAATTCCAAACTGCATACCCATTTTTGTTGCTTTTGTTGTTCAAAGAAAAGTTTATCAAAGTATTTCAGTTATATGTATAACTTTAAAATTACTGGTGCTTTTATGGGACAGGCTGCTTACATTTTTATATGTACATGAGATGCTTTTTCCAGCACAATGTGAGACATAATTTTAAAATAGGCCAGTGCCCCTAAATATCTAACCTGTTCTGATTCGTAATTATGCATTTTATTACAATTACTACATCGTGGGAGCCTGAACAGCAGATTTGGTATAGTGACTGGCTATGAGCTGCATGACCAAGGGGTCCTATGGGTATCAGGTGCTCTTTCCCTGGGAGGGTAAAGTATCCATGGCGTGAAGCTGACCACTCACCTCCAATTAACACTGAGGTCAAGAAAATGTGGAGCCATACATCCACTCCCTCTTATGCCTTCATGGCATAGTGCTTAATTAGTTAAATCTTTACCTTTTTTACTACATTCATAACCTCCACAGGCAAACTTTCTGAAACAGCTTCATGACCTCAGTTTATGCAGACTGTGTTACCAAATATTTTCATCATATTGACAGATTAATGAGCACAGTTCAAGCAAAATTTGCTGTCCTGGCAGCAGTCATGAAAATAAAATTGCTATGCCCGTATTCAGCTTTAAGAATATAACATTTGCAAATTCCAAAACATATGAAAATCTTGAGTAATTAGAAATATAACATAAGATGGCAGGTTTACTTAGTCAGGATATGCAGGAAATAAGGAATCCTGAGAATGGAATGAAACTTGGTAACACTTTTTCATGACTCCAAACAAGGATATTAGATACAGAGATTGTAACACAATACAATGCTATAATATACTTACAAAGACAATAGATGTGGCATGCCAATGAAAGTTCCATCAACGAGATATGTTATTTTATTGTGTGACAGGTCTCTGAAATGTGAATTATGAAGTGTAAGTACAGTAACACAACTATACACCCTGAAATTGTTGACAGTCTAATTCAGCTCTTGATAGTTCAGTGAGCATATACAAATACCCGGACATGATGAAGAAATAACGGTGATGAATAGTTAAAACAACAATTCTGTGGCTCATTCATTGCATGTAAGTTTTACTATGATGTTCCATAATCTGAAGTGTGCACTTAAGAATGTAAACAATTTTTTTCTTTTATTTGAGATTCTTATGGTGCTGATTGTGAAGAGAAATATCTTCTTGGACGTAAAACCACGCGGTCTAGTAGAGATATACTGATGTTTCCAAAGTATATATTGCCTCCATCTTCAGGATCAAGAAGTAAGCCAAGCAAGCGACCAGAAAGTAGTACGAAGACCTCTATTTGTTGATTGCTTGGCCTACTCTTTGACCCCCAAAATGGAGGCATCAGTAAACTTCTACTGGCCTACACAGCGTCACATCCCAGAAGCTAGAACACTTCAAGGGAGCCAGTATAGTGATGGATTACAGGCTGGCTGAGGAATTGGGGTTTGATTAGAAGTAGGGGCAGCAGATTTCTCCTACTCAACACTGTCCAGACTGGCTCTACAACTGATCCAGCCCATCCAGTGGGTGGCAGGACCTCTTTCCTCAGGGGTGTGAAGCCGAGATCATGAATGGTTCAGCTACACCCCCCTTGCCCCATATATATTACTGGCTTGGAACTTAATTAATTAAGCACAAAGGAAACTTTACCTCTTTTTTTTACCTTAGTATTCTTCAAGTAAAGCTTTGTATGTGGACAACAATTTCTAAAATGATGTTCTGGAATCAGATCCTAACAAAGAAATTTAATAGGGGTAATGCAGATTTATGCTGGGGAAAATATTGCAACATGTCAACACATTGCCAGGCAATGGCTTGATAAACACCCTGCATTACAAGCACACAACAATAGAACAGCAGGGTTATGCAACCTGTTTCTAGGTAATGGCTCACTAACACATTTCTGCATATCAGAATGTCCTATGCAATGAAGTAATGTTATCAAAAATATGGACTGTGTTTTCCATTGGGTCTGTGCAGAGTGGTTAAAGAGAAGCGAATTCAGAAGCTAGGATAAGTTGAGAGTACAAGGATGAGAATGGAGCATGTCCTTAGTGAACTGTGAAGATTAGTTAAGTACAGATTAGGGCAGAGGAGTAAAAAGTGATTGAAGAGAAGAAGACTTCACAGTGATTTGAAGTGACAGTTTCTGTGTTGAGATCCATTGCTAGGAGACGAATAGTGGAAATTGAGAATCTCAGTGCATGTGCAACGGTGAAGTGTAAATTGTGTAAATCAGCGATAGTGCTGTATTAATTGTAGTTAAGAGTGACTGTAATTAAAGTGCCAATAAACACAATCATCTGAAGTAGCACCCATTAATTTCATCACGCGTACCCTCCTACATATGACAATATTAATGCCAAGGACTGCCTAACTACAAAAGTATTTAAAGCTTCAGTAGGATGTTTCCTATGTTCATTTCATTTCTCAGTGATCAACTCATTAAAATGTACAGTACCAAATTCTCAATAAAATTCTATTAAGCAAATTTCTGTCATTCCACACACCTTACATTGTATTTATAAGAACCACACCTTGATATACTCTTGAACATAAAGCTGGTACTCTATCCTATAGTTCTTCATGCTCACATAATAACAATTATTTGCTCCAGAAATGATGTTACTCACTTAGCACTGTTTAGGCAACTAACTCTCTCTACTGCCAACTGTACTGAAGAGTAAAATTCTGCTAAGGGTTGGTAAATTTACCACTTATAGAAATACAGGAAAAATTATGAACTGGAGGATTTGTCATTCATAATTTGTGATTATCAATTCCATATTCAAATCACATCTCATTAATGAATGTGCCCTTTTACTGCCTGGACCACTGACATGAGACATGTTAACATAATCTGTGTTACTAACAAATAGCAAACACTGAAATTAAATAGATGATAATTATTTTTGTACAAAGATGTTATAATTCATTGCAAAATAACAAATGAATGCCAATACTACATAAATAGGAAAGTTACAATATATATGTGTGGTAGGATGGTTAACATACATAAATTATAACCACTGAACCATTTCTTACTAATTATTTAATCAATTAATGAGTGTAATGACTTCTTTGTGCATGGCATCCCATTAAAAGTACCAAATTATTTTTATGTATGTTAATTTTATACTTTCTCTCGGGCCACACAGAGGTGTGAATGATCTTGTCAGCTACTGCAGGTAACTTACAGCCCAACAAGACTCCTGAGTCCAACAAAAGCTGCCTCGGAGATGTTGTTGATGTTCTGACAGCTGAGGTCTCTGTAACATCAAATATGAAGCAGCTATAATGGATTGAATCACATGGTTCCAATTAAGATATTGTGCAAGACATGTACTCACAGCAAAATTAAAGAAGAAAGCCCATAAAATGCCATGGCTTCGATTGTTTGAATGCCATTCCCTTGAAGGTGTCTGAAAAAATGTATACGACTTTTATACACAAAGAAAAGGAATTACACAGGTATATTATTCTCTGGCACTAGAACCTGAAAGCTAAACATTTATAATTCAAAGCCTGCCAATTTTCACAACACTGAGTTGCTTCCATGCACCTCCCATCATTCAGAATTAAAGTAGAAAGCATTCTTAAAATATAAATGGGCTAATTCAGGTGCAGGTTACTTCTGATTTCACAGCAGGCAGAACTTTTCCTAACATTACATATTCATTTATTTGTTTGTAAGTAATACATACAGATTGCTGAGATTGGTCAGTCCATAAAATGAGCTGTTGCTTAATGTCCGGATATAGTTGTGTTGTAGATTTAGTGTAAGCAGACGCCACAAGTTGCGGAATGCCAATGGTGGAATATTTGAGATGCTATTGTTTTGCAGATCTCTGTAAAGAAATAAAAGGCAATTCAGTACATCTTTCACTGTTGTTCTCCAAAGGCACATCACCTTACTCATGAGAGTATTTCCCTGGAAGAATGGGTCTAAAGACATGGACACATGACACATGCAAGCCAACCTTACAAGTTCATCAAGAGAATTTTAAGAGTATTACAGTAAATCAAGAGTCCTAGATATGATCGTGTCAATTGTGGAACACATTAAGATACTGCAAGAATCATTTATAGAATTCTGAGTCAATTACTTGGCCAAGGAATTTCTCAACTTTTAAGGAACCTGAAAATTAATTACATGTTCTCAAGAACTCCTCACTGCACCCTATCCTGAACAAATTTAAACCAGACTACTCTCTCACATTCTACTTCTTTAAGACCAATTTTAATATCACCCTCCCATCTATGTCTATATGGCCTATGTGGTCTCTTCCCTTCGGACAATTTTATGAAAATTCTATATATATTTCTCAATAACCCCGTGTGTGCTAGATGCTCCATTCAGCTCGTCCTCCTTGATTTGATGATCCTAATAATTACTGGTTATTAACACACATCATGAAACACCTCATTATGCAGTTCTGTAAACCAACACGCAGGAGTTGAAAGGTCCACTCGCCTGCTGCTTGGCAAAGAAGGTTTACATTACTCACTGTTTTACCTAATTTGTCCCATTCAATTCTTGCGTTTTTGTTTTGACATTATTTTGGCAAATTTCTGCTGCACTTTCTTCCTAACTTCATTAAACTATCCATAGTTTTACAAAGAGAAGATCTGATACTGAGCCACATAAAATATGTTAAACTTGCCCCTGTTCCTTAGAGAAGCTGAAGGCAGCACATGCCCATAGAGAGAGAAAGTTTTAGAGTACATTTCAATTACAGGAGAACTACAAGAAATTCTGCTAACTGGAATAAGATGTGCGAAGACAAAATTTGAAACAGGACACAAATTCTTGTTTGAAAGACTTTCTCACACTATCACCAGTGGAACTGTGTGACTAACACTGTCTTGTAGCCTACTTTCACTGCGGGGTATTATCACAGCCTTTATGGGTTTTTCGGACTTCGCGCAGGAAGTGTAATAGGATAGGTGATTCTTCTCGAAGTGGAATTTGATTTAATAGAGGTCCACTAACCCGCTTTTGATGACCCTGCTTCCGTTTCTAGTGTCACGGAACTCAAACGTCTTCTTTTACCACACTTTTCAGTTGCTTTTGCAACTTAACCAGGTTAGTTGCTGATGTTAGTACTTTCGGGGACGGCCCATACGTTTCCGCGGGAACCACCTCTTCTTGTGGACTGGTCTTCCTACTGGATGAGTCAGTGTCCACATCCGTTGTTCTTAGGGTGGGGAGCAAATAGTTACGGGTGGTGACCCCCTTGGGGGGTGGGGGGTGTCTATGGCGGCAGACACTGCGGTCGGCAATGCTTTCTTTGTTGTTCGGGGGGGGGTGTCTCATCGATGCTATGCCGTTTCCACCTCCGAATTTCTTCGAAAAAATCCTCCTGGATGCTAGTGGACTTCGGTGTCTTTGACTGGCCTGCTGGAGTGCTCGCCTTCAGCACGGTCTTTTAACTCCTGCAGAGCAACTGTGTACGTGCCATACACAGCACTAAACAGTGCCTTCCCAGTAATGGCTTTGCAGATGTTCTGACTGTTGGCCTCCGCCGCGCTGAAGATGGATGTCACTGTCACTCGCTGAATCTGAAGTGTACCCTGCCACTTCCTCGATGTCACAGAATACATTAAACTGCCATTACAGTGTATCAGCATCAGGAAATTGTCCTATTAGCCGTTGGTACTCCGACTTTAACGTCGCACGTTTATCCGTCCAAAACGCCTGATATCCTGGCACTGGAATGTGAGCCGTCTTTGGGCACGAATCTCTTTTCGTAGTGAGCACACACTTTGTCAGTCACTCACTTCTCAAATGACTAACACTAACTCCTACCCTTAGCAGCCCTAACTCTAACCTTCAGTCAGTAACCTCAAAATTTTCTCTAACTCTTAACAAATTTAGTGCCACCCCCCTAAAATGAAAGGGGGAAAAAATTGCAGTCATTCAGTGGCCAAGTGAATGCGGTCACATCTTTGTTAATGAATTTGTAGAGCAACGGGGAACATGGGAGGGAGGAAGGGGGAGGGTGTTGTATACTATTATCTTGAGTAAATTTCGTGTAATGCTTCTAATATTGGGGGTGTGTGTGTGTGTGTGTGTACCAGTATATGTGTCGTTCATATAAAGATAATCCCAGCTGGTTTTATAAATGTGATACTTTTCTAGTGTATTTAAAAGTTTTCCCCTCCTTCCCATTTTTACAACTTCCGTGGCATCTGCTATTGTTCCATATGTATGTTCAGTATCCAGAGTTTCTGTTGTTGCTTCTAGTGTCATGAATGTGTTCTTTATATCTGATACTGAATGTTCTTCCCGTTTGTCCGACGTATTTTAGTGGACAATCTAAGCATTTAATCTCGTAATTCCGCTTTTATCTGTTTATGGCTGAGGCTTTAAATATATCTTGTATTGTGTTCTGTGTGCGGTAGGTATTTTTATTTGCGTGTCTGGAAAATTTTTTGTTAACTCTTCTTACTTCTTTGCCGTTGTAAGTGATGGTAACCCAGTTTGTTTCTGTGCCGTGAATCAGCCTGTATTTTGTTTTTGCTTTTGTTGGGGAAGTGGTTTTCTGATTAGGTTTGTGTCACACTCGTTATTGTGTAGTATGCTCTTGATCGTGTTCTTTTCTGCGTCTTTTGTATTTTCAGTTACTGGACACGTGTGTAGTCGATCTATTAAGTAGTTAATACCTTATAGGTTATGCTCATATTGATGGCATAAACTATTAGGTATTATGTCAGTTTGCATGGGTTTCCCATATTCTGAAAACTGCAAAATTTTTTCCTTTATGATGCAATGTGAGATCTAGGAAGTTAAGAGATCTGTGTTGTACTTTTTCTATATCAAATTTTATGTCTGGGTTGTAGGCTGCTGAGTTTGATGTATCTGCTTCTAGCTGTAAAACAACGAACAATACTGGAAACTGACATTGCAAACTTCTTTTTCATTGTCATCTGCTTCAGTTTTCTAAAGTACACTGATCAATTTCCATACTACCTATTTTACCAGTGACTTATGAAAGTAAAGAAGTAAAAGAACCAAATTTGAACTTACAGGTATAGAAGACGGTCCAGATGCACAAAAGTATCTTCAGAGAAAGTGGTATTGAGCAGATTACCTGCCAAATGACTGAAACAGATAAGAAAGCCAGACAAATAACATCTACAGTATAATAAAATATTATGTGACTACAAAAATTCTATTAAAGGGTGACTTGGACTTAAATTGTCATCATTAAATACTACCTTGGGATGGAAGATCTTGGAAGAACACCAATCAGATATAATATAAGCAGGATACTAACAGTTTCAGTGTGCTCACTCTGTAGTTGCACAATCTTCTGTTGTTAATGTCATATTTAGGTACTGCAAACTCTAATTCAACGGTAAAATGTGATTTAACTCAAGGGTTAGCATTATTATTAGTATCATTAGTATATCTGTTTATGCATAACTTATTACATAACATATTCAGAGACAATACCATCACCTGACAGGCTGAAATATACTGCATGTCAGTGCCAATCACATCATGCAACAGGTTGTTGCTAGTGTGTATGTAATTGTAATACTTCCTACAAATGCCACTCAGCTGCAGAGAAACGTTCAGTGTATAATATCAAAAGAATATTGTCTTCTGGTATATAATGCCACATAGACCTCTGAAAATCAACTGACGTTTCAGAGGAACATGTTACCCCCATCTTCAGGAAGATCTGCTTACCACTTGCTTTCACACTGGTATCTTGTTCAGCTTATTCTTTGACCCTGAAGATGGAGGAGATATATTCCTCTGAAACATCAGTTAACTTTCAACAGACTACATGGTGTTATATCTCAGAATACAGTACTCTTCTTAACTACTGCTGTGAGAACCTCAAATTGTGCATAGATTGTCAAAGTCTCAGAGAAGCATAAAATAGTTGTTGACTGTTTTGCATCTGTTCTTTTGCAGTTCCATTTCAAATGTCATAAGCTCAAAATCTAGTTCTTGTGGAACAGCTGGCTTAGAAAGAAAATTTTCTGTATGGGGACATGGCAGTAAATGTGTTAAATACTGATGATGTCTATGTTAAATTTGTCAGATATAACCTCAGAATTTTGTACCATTGCCATGTTTGCAGCCGTTGACTTCTAGACAATATTTCTTAGAGAATTTGTATATGTGCTTATGTCTCTGACTTATTTTCACATTAGCATCAACTTTCATGTAGTTAGCATTAATTGTTCATTGGTAACCACCAACAAACCAAAACCTAAATGCAGTTTTCATCCAGTGACAATGTTGGTGTTGTCGTTGTTTTACAATCTACAGAAAAATTACCTTATTAAATATTGAATATTTTTCAAATAACTATTATAACACAACCTACCAGGCCCAGGTCTTAAGTATTACTCCTACAACTCAAGTTTATGTGTCCTCTGTATCGCTACTGCCATTTGTGTAGATTTGAAGTTGTACAGATTTGGAATGGATCCCAATGACAAAACACACATACCACTTTTGTGGAAACAATTATATTGGTTCAGAGTTCAAAGAAGGGGACAACATACCCACATAAGGCACGACAACCTCATAAACCCATTCACTTTCATTCAGAAAGGAAAGCAGAGTGAAAGCATCACTTTTACAAGAAAAAAAAAACAGGATGGTTGCTGCAACCTATGCACTATAGCTGCATACTGAGAATGTTGAAATAGAATGCAATAATACATGGTGCTCAAAGTATATCTTCATATCACAGATAGACTTTATAAAATTAAAAAGAAATCCTAATATAATTTACAGGTTTCATGCAACAATACTTCCTGTATCTCAGAGCTTATGAGATGATTGAGTCTTCTCAGAACAGCCTGTTATGAACAGCTGCTGTATTCTGATTCTTTTTTTCACATTTTGCAAAGGCAGGGAGCACTTACACTTTTTCTTCAATGCTACACACTATGATTCAAGGTTTTAACACAAGAAGTAATTTTAATGATGTTGAATGTACAACTAAGTGACTTGTAGTAATAAAATATTTCAAGTTATAGAGACAAATGGGACATTCCGTATTTTCAAAAATTTTACACATGGTATATGTGTTAATTATTTACAGCCAACACTCCAGGAGTCAAGCAAAAGAAGTGATTACATTATATTTGGACAAAAGTGTTCACTGAGCTAGAAATACTTTGACCAAATATTTATGTGAAATATTGATTTAATGCACATGAGAAAAAATATATGCCTCTCCATAAAGATACTGTGAAGCAATTCACTATAAATGAGCAAATGAGTCTCAGGCTTTTACACTACAATACTGAATGCTCACAGGTTACAGTATGCATGTGTGTATGCACACATGCACACACATGTTCACGCATGCAGGAGCACACATTATCAACCCCACCCCATTCCCACTCTCACACACACAGACACATGAAGGGGAGCTCAACTGCAAACACAGATGTATACTTCAAAACAATAATTACATGCGTATCAGTTCCATGGCAGTGGCTATATGACAGTTCACATGGTGATGTACTCACAACCAAGTCATTTCCTCTTCAATATCAGGAGGGACACGCTCTAGACGGAGGTTTGTGCAGTTCACATGTATATCCTGACATTCACAACGTGGTTCCACATTTGAGCATGCAAACACTATAATAAAAAGCAATGACATTACAATATGTAAGCGTTAATTCTACAACATATTCTTTTCTGATACCAAACGAAAAGTCTTTGTAAACTTAAGTGGGAATAGCATATTGCAAGGTTTTGTATTAGAATTTGCTGTTATTCTTAGGCTTTAAAACTTCTGTGACAGCTCAGTCAATACTGTAACTGGCTATGGTCTGGATGAAAGGGACATAATTCCCACCAGGCATTCACTCCCAGTGGGTGGAGATTCTGGAGCATGAAGAGGATGTAATTATTTGGGCCTGAAAGAGATGATGCTTGTTTTATTTTCTTTGATCCAGAAAGCTGTTCTCTCCTCAAAAGTGTTTCATTCATGTGTGTTGAATCGTTAGGAAAACTGAGGGATACATGCAGTGACACGTGTACCTTCTTTCTGTACGGGAAACAGAGCTACTGATTAATACAATAATAAAAAATCTGAATTTGAAGTAGCGTGAAACACAAAAGGTATACAATTAAGTCTCATAATCTCTGAGAAATATTAGTTTAACAAGTTTCCAGATACTGACGAACCTTGAAACCATTGCATTTGCCCAAACTTAATGTGTACTTTTCCTGCAGGTATCTCCTAAAAACTGTTATATTAGTGCATTTATATTATTCTATATTAGTGCACTTGCATTGTGTTATATTAATACATTTACATTGTGTTATGTGTTTTACTAGAACCCACCACTGAAAATATCATAATTAACTGAAATTACCATATTTTGTGGCATGTTAAATGTATGTTGGTTTAGGAAGCAGAAATTAAGACATACTTTTCACTATACTGCACTTGTGTGAAAGCTTAATTGAAATTTTTATGGCCATTTTCATGGATAAAAAGTGCATCTTATATGCGGGAAAAATTTTAGCTTATTTTCTCCCCTGTTGCAACAACAATAAATTTCAGTATATGTAAGTTTCAAAGTTTTCATGGTATTTTCTTGCCCACTGTTCCTATTGGCCAGAAATGGAATCCATTTTCTCACCCATCCTGTAGGTCTGAATGACCGCCTTCCTTTCAGTCTGCCTATAAGACCCAACAAATTCCTCAATTCATGCAAAAGTTTACATTGAAGGTATGACCTGAAAGTTAAAGTTTCAAAATTAAGTGAAACTGAGGAAATGGTATCTGTGTTTTTAATATGTAAACAGTTGTTTCCTGGGGCAGATATTGACTCTGACCACAACTTATTGGTTGTCAAATTCCAAACCAGGTTGAAGAAAATTACAAGATTTCGAAAGCGCAGACCCAGATGGGATTTGGAGAAGTTATATGCTCAAAGACAAAGCGTGCAAGAGACCCTAGAAGAGAAACTTGGTGCAATTGAAGGTGAAAGCGGAAATGCTGAAGCGCAGTGGAACAATATAAAAGAACGCATGTTAGATACTATCAGTGATTTGGTTGGTAAAGTTGAGAAGATAGCAAGAAAACCATGGGTTACACAGGAGATGATGAGTAAAATGGAGGAGCGAAGGAAATGGAAGAATGTCAACAATGAAGAAGGCAGGAGGAAATACAGGAGACTGAGGAATGAATTGAAAAGAGCCACGGACAGGGCCAAAAAGGAATATCTTGAGAAGATATGTAATGAGATTATGGAATTTCAAAGAACAGGCCGTTATGATTTGATGTACATGAAGACAAAAGAACTAGGATGGAAAGAGAATCATGGGATTCAAAATGTTGGCATCGAAGACTCCCAGGGGAATAGAATAGTAGATCAGAGGCAAGTGCTGAAAATTTGGGAAAATTATATTTCAGAACTATATGATCGACCTAATCGGCCAGAAACCTTAGAAGTTGAACCGGAAGAAGAAGTAGATACAGACGAGAAAGGACCATATATTTTACAAAGTGAGGTGGAAAAAGCTATCAAGGAAATGAGGAAGGGAAAGGCTACAGGAGATGATGATGTACCTGGAGATGTGCTCAAGTTACTGGGAGAAGGTGGTTTGAAAACACTGACAAAACTAATGAACACCATATATGAAAGTGGAGAGTGGCCCAAGGACTTTACAGAAGTTACAATGATTGCCTTAAAGAAAAAGACAAAAGCTACAAAATGCAGCGACCATCGCACAATAAGTCTTATTGCACATACAGCAAAGATAATAGCAAAGATACTTAAAAGAAGAATTGAAAGGAAAATAGAGGATGTACTTGGAGAAGATCAGTTTGGATTTAGAAGAGGAAAAGGAACCAGGGATGCAATTGGGATGATGAGAATTATAGCGGAACGAACTTTGGAGATAGATGAAGAACTGTGTGTTTGCTTCATAGACTGGCAGAAGGCATTTGACCGGGTAAACTGGACCAAATTAATGCAGATCCTGAAAGAAACAGGTATCGATTGGCATGAAAGAAGATTGATTAGCAAATTGTACATGGATCAGAAAGTTAGAGTACGACTGGACAGGGGGGAGACAGGAAGTGTGCAGATTGGAAGAGGAGTTCGACAAGGATGCTGTTTATCACCAATTCTGTTCAACTTGTACAGCGAATGCCTTACCAAGGAAGCTCTGGATGGGCTCGGTGACTTCAAAGTAGGAGGGCAAATTATTCAAACTGTGAAATATGCAGATGACCTTGTGTTAATGGCTAAGGAAGAAACTGTGCTACAGGGCATGATTGATAGACTAATTGAAATTGGAAGGTGCTATGGCATGGAAATGAATGTGGAGAAAACAAAAGTAATGAAAATTTCGAGACAACCAACCCCAGTCACAATAAAGATAGACCAAAAACAACTGGAGAATGTGAAATGTTTTAAATATTTGGGTAGCTTGTTAACAGATGATGGAAGGTGTACTTGTGAAATTAAATCCAGGATTGCCATGGCAAAAGCTGCATTTAGCAAGAAGAAGAATCTTTTTACCAGCAAATTGGACTTAAATTTGAGGAAGAAACTAGTGAAATGCTACATTTGGAGCATAGCTCTGTATGGGGCTGAAACATGGACACTTGGGGCAGTAGATCAGAAACATCTGGAAAGTTTCGAAATGTGGTGTTGGAGAAGGATGGAGAAGATCAGTTGGACAGATTATGTGAGAAATGAAGAAGTGTTAATTAGAGTCAGTGAGCAGAGGAATATCCTACACGAAATAAGAAAACGGAAGGCTAATTGGATTGGTCATGTTTTACGCAGAAACTGCCTTCTAAAGGAAGTTATTGAAGGAAAGCTAGAGGGGTGGTTAGAAGTGACAATTAGACGAGGAAGAACACGTAAGAAGATGCTGGATGACCTTGGGGACAGAAGAGGATACTGTCATTTGAAGGAGAACGCTCTAGATCGCATTAAATGGAGGAAGTGTTTTGGAAGAGACTGTGGACCTGTTGTCTCAACAGATTACTGATGATGATGATGAGTTGTTAGGACCTACTGAAAATTGTATATGACTAATATGTAAATACTCATAAATTTAATGTCATCAATTCAACTTTTCAGAATTTGAATTATATTAATTATGAGAAAATAAAAACTGTTTATGTGTATCTAACTCTTTACATTCATTCGTGTACCACTGATTTGACAAATCCACAAACTTACAGCATCCATCTTCATCAACCCAAGTTCCAGGGCAGTCAATCTTCTCATCACATACCAAAGACAGATTCAGGCAAGGCCCATTTCGGCATTTGAAAGTGTCTGGTGGGCATGTCCAGTTCTCTGAGACATAAAAGGCTTCATAATTTCCATTTTATTTTAAAAAACAGTTAATTGTTGACATCAAAAGATAATGCTACTTCTTTTCTGCAAAAACATCAACATGTGTAGGTATTATTAACAGAATCTCTGTATTTTATTTTCACCTAATTATACTCATTTCTCTGTAGCTGAGATGAGGGAAATTTTAATTTCAAATGTTACTATAAATAATATTGTAACTTGTGGCATATATGTTGAAGTGATAATAGCTGAAATGAAAAACTGAAAGGGAAAGCATACTGACCTTTTCAATGTTATGCAAGAATACAATGTGGGAGGGAAAGTTATTAAGAAATCTGACTGAAAAATTTGATGACCTCAAGTAAACAAAAATGTTGAATTCACCAAAACTGATAACTCACTACATCCAATGAGGTGGGATCCATCTGCACAAGCATACCGAGGGCTACCAGAGTTGAAGCATCTCAGAGAAGCATCAATGCACTGGCTGTTGTTGCACTGGAACTGATTGGGGGCACATAGTGGAGGCTTCACACCTAAATTAGCATAAAAAAGTTTGTAAATTATGTAAATTCTAGTGGCAAATTTATGTAAGTATTACAATTTATGATGAACTATCAGCATTACAATGTTATTGATTATGATCAAATTATCTTCTTTGACCAACTCCTGTTGAACTGCAAGGAAGTTAAAATATACTACTTTGTCTGAAGTCCTAATCATTGCATATATGAACTATGATCCAGTTAACCACCATGCTACTGTATGCATAGCTTTCTGACTGCCAAGGCTAAAATGGATGTATGACACCAAATAATGTGCAGGAAGCACTAGCAACCTAGTTCTGGCAGGCAAACTGTCATTCTTTGAATGATTGCATTTATTATGCCTGAGTTATTGTTAATTAACAGTGTACTGTAACGGTCAACATTCCTGTCCCATGACTTAGAGTCTCGGGTGAAAATTATTTATCATGATATATTTTATGACTTTTCACAGTATCTTCAGATAAAATGCTGGGACAGTCCTCTGAAATAGAACATCCCCCCCCCGGTACCCATTGGATAGAAGGCTGGGTGGGTCCCAAAGCTGGTCTGGATGACTTGGAGAACAGAAAATTCTTGACCCCAATAAGACTAGAACTCTGACCCCTCAGTCGGCCAGCTAGTTCCCAGTCACTATCCCAACTCCATAATACCACATCAGGACCTACATTATGTAGCAGCCCCACATCACAAGTTCTTACGATCGCCATTTTACTGTTGAAATTTTAAAAAGTACAACATTGCAATGGCACAAAACCTATATCAAGCTTCACGAAAATCGAACACAAGTTTCAAAGGCTGAAAGGAGTCTCAGACACAGACATCCATACCTGCAGCATGGTGACTAGATAAGCCACCTTTCTTTTTTCAGGATAGGAAAGTAGCTAAAAATGCATCTCTGCAACCATGTGACATCCAGCAAATAACAACTTCAGCTGGCCCCCATTTTTTTTCTATGCCTATTACAAGCCATAACCTTCTAAAATACAGCATATCAACGATGTGACATTACATTGCTTCAGTAGTTCCCCTTCCTGACTGTCAGTGGTGTTTCCTGAGCATGCACGATACATTGAAGTTAATGTGGAGTCTGGACATTCTGACTTACCTCATCAACCGAATCTACTCGTGTATTAACAATTTATTCATTATATAAATATATAAATGCTTGTGTGAAATATAATGCCCAAAGTCAATAACAACAGTTAAAAAATGCATACTAACTACTGCACATATCCTATTGTGTACATGTCATGAAGGAATTTGTGCAACAAAACACTATCAAAATCCAGAACACCTCTCATGTAACTCTAGTACATAGTTAATTGGGTACATGAATTTGATCCCCTTGTCCATAGACGGATTAATCCAAGCAAAGGGAACTATGAGAAACCAAATAAAAAGGACCTGTGGGATCACAAACTGTCCTGGATCGTGGAGTGATGGGTGACCCAAACAGTATCCAACTTGCACTTTAACCAAGTGCACACATGCGCAAACGCGCGCCCCCCCCCCCACACGCACGCACATACAGTTTATGGACACTCACCACAGTTTCTTTCATCAGAACCATCTGGACAATCCACGATGAAATCACACCAGAGGAATTCCGCCACGCATTGTCCACCATCAAAACATTTTTTCTTACCCTCGGGACATTCTTCGTCATCTGTTAGGAGAAAATTCTGGCACGTCTTATGGTGATGACAAATTAAAATATTATCTACTGTCAAATTACAGAAATACTTTTAAATTAGAAATTATGGGAAGACACTTACTAACATTTGAATAATGAAACTTAGGAGAACAGGGTTCCTTTTTTTGAGTTTAGGAGACATAAGCTTGAGACAGTTCAAGAACTGCTGCTGGCTTTGAACCCATGCCAGTTTTCATGTCCTTAAATCTTAAAATTGCATAGGCATATACTATATGTATGTTGGATGGGAACTTCGATATGCTCAAATTCATGCATCCTTCTACGATTCTGACAAAAGAAAACAAATCTTTAAAACATCGGTAAAGGCAATGCCGAGATTGATCCTTTCTGAGCCTCAATTCTTCCATAATATACTGTACTAAAAAACTAAACTCCGTGGTCTTACTCCGCAAGCGAACTATACCGACCGAGAGACCGCCGCTTGTCGGCGAAGTTAGTGCCAACTTTAGCGGATAGAGGGTTTCGCGTGGCCAGCACCAAGGATCCCCACAGGCGTTAATCTCGGTTTCCTAGACCGGAGCCGCTACTTTTCCATTCAAATAGCTCCTCATGTGGCTGAGTGGACTCCGTTTCAGAACCATTCAGAAAATCTGGTAGCGCCGGGAATCGAACCCGAGTCTTCTAGATTTGTAGCCAGGAACTCTGACCACTAGACCACAGAGACGGTCATAATTTATGGTACAGAAATTTTAAATGAATTTTTGGGTTTTATGTAATAATTGGCAGAATGACATAACCTTGCATGCAGACAGAAGAAAGCGGTTCATAAGCCCACACCACATCACGGTTTCATAAAGGCATTTTATCGATAAGTTTCGGACATTTAGGGTACATGCAATTCTAGATGCAAATATTTGGATTTAATCCAAATTAAAATTGTTATTATAATTTGTTGGTACAAGGAGGTTTGACCATCATATGCTCCAGACATCACTTGAGATTCTCGTGGCGTTGGTTAGGAAGATTGCTCTATTCTGGAGGTCTAACTCCCTGTAGTTTCTAAAAATTTGCAGACAGTCAGTCAGTCAGTCTTGGTGTCGAGTCCCATCTGGAGCTCAAGACCATATTTTAATTACTGTTTGACGGCTACAGATTTACTGTATTTATGTAGCTCGCTAAGTCACTTGTCAAAGTCATAGTTGACACTAAAAGTCATTTATGTCTCATAGCTGGCCAATTATCGATATATAAATAATATTCAGCTTTATATGTACGAGTACAATACACAGTTGAATATATTTTATATGTATATGCAATACATACCCGAGCGGTCTAAGGCATGCACTGTCTTCGCTCTCTTGGAAGCCGGGATCGTGGGTTCGAATCCCACTCAGGGCATGGATGTTTGTGTGCGTTTTTCTGTGTTTGTCTACAGGTAGAGGCCTTGCGACGAGCTGATCACCCGCCCAAGGAGTCCTACCGAATGTGTAAGATCTAGTAAACCGAAGTGAAACGGAGAGTTTCATGGAGGTAGGCCTAGGCCCAAATTGGGGCTGTAGCGCCACAGAAAAAAAAATGCAATATATACAAGGCCTTGGCCAGTCCAGGGTGAGAACGGCAGATTATGCCTCTCTTAAGTACTTCACGCTACAATGGTAGCCTAGTCAATTCAAATCTCGTATTCCTGACCGCCGTCAAGTTCAAGCCTCTTATATTTTCTGCGTCATTTTTATGTTTTTGTACGACTTCTGCTTGCTGCATGCATAATTTTGTAATCACATGCTTATGGAAGTTTGAAAGCCGTGTGTAAATCGCGAACCGGTGTGCGCCTTGGAAAATTTCCAGTGGTACGGAGAACCTTATTTTGCAGACGCTGCAATTGCAGGAGATGGGTATCTGGCACAAATTCCCAGGCGGGGCAGGCAAAAGACATTATAAACGTAATGAGTGCTTGTTGAAGAGTTTGTTATTTAATGTTAGAGCTTAATCGCTCACTTTTGAGTAACGAATAGACTCTAATAAATATTTTGAATTCGGCAAACTCCATGTACTTCTCCTATCGAGATTACACGGAGATATTTTACGCTATTTCGAAATGCGATGTTCCGTCCACTCAATGTCAGATAGACTCAAGCAGTGTACGTCTATGAGAAAAGGAGACTGCCTACCTTTTTCTTTTTGACTTTTATGTTCCAGGGCTCACACGTCTCATTGAGCTCAGAACTCGCTGCAGCTTTCTGAGAACGAAACCGTCTTTACGATCTGACGCATACAGACAGGTGTCTTCGGCAAAGAGGGACAGATGAACACCAGGTGTTTGGGGGGCATCATGTATATACTATATACTGCAGTGTAGGGGACATGACAGAACCTCGAGGCACTCCTGCTTGCATTTCCCTCGGCGGGGACATTTCGCGTTCCACCGAAACTCTGCCTTTCCTTCGCAATAGAAAGGAGCAAATAGGTTTGATCAAACTAGCCGAAAATTCCAAGTGGTACAGCTAAACTCACCACAGTTCAATTCGTCGCTCTTGTCCCAGCAGTCAAACTGCAAGTCGCAGCGTTGGGTTGAGTTCACACACTGGCCATTTGAACATCTGTATTCTCCTTCAGCACAAGCTCTGGGCTCTGCGAAATAACGTTAAAAACAAAGGATCAGCTTATATTAATCGTATACACTTGGTGGTTATGAGATAACGAATAAGGGGTTTTTGCTACAATTATCATGATCATTGCCCTATTCTTTTTCACCTAACAAGTTAAACAGTAACTTTCTCGACTTGAATTTGGGAGGAAATTGGTTCATATTTTTGGCCGGATTATTGTCTTGCGGCGTTGTCTTCAGTAACTACAGGCGAATATCATGATAGTACTTTCAAACAGGCTACTACTATTAGAAATATCTATCTACCTCTGCATTCATAATCATCGTCCCAACTCGTAACACTTGCAGCTGAGATAACATTGTAACAAATTAAGAATCACAACCAGTTGTTTCCTTTCCAAACATTTCGAAGAGTTTGCCTACTACAGATATTACTTACGATTTTGTTCGATTTACTGGTTGTGGTTGTCTTGAGCAATAATTGAATACATATAACTCATGTGAGGGAAAACACCTATTCTGTTGGGACCAGTGATTGAGGCCGGAAACAGATCCAGTTTCCGAAACGTCGTGTTTTTCTCACTTATCTTAAAAACCAGGACGATGGATAAAGTCCGAAAACCCAATATCTCTGTGTGTTATACACCATCGTCAGAATCCTATAGTAACTACAAACACAATTTTGATTTATACCAGCAGATTATGATACAACAAACTGTATTACCTNCAAAAAAAAAAAAAAAAAAAGGTCTTTCCTATGAAACTTGCAGATGACACAAATATTTACCAAACCGAGACATACCAATTTCATTCCAAACATATCTGTTATGATGTAACGAGTTCTATGCTATATTGCACATAAAGACATTTATAAAGAACTAATTACGCGACAACAAGTCATGCGACTATGTAGTGTGTTTCCTATAGTGAGATTCGCTTCGCAAGAATGGATTTGTGCCTGCAACAAATGAACAGCAAGGCTAATTTTAAGGGATCCATTAAGAAAATGGGATATGTAGACGTATCATTAACTGGAGTACAGCTATGGGCTTCTCTTCTTTGATTTGTCGTATGCAGCAGTGACTTCAAAACTGCGCACATCAGAACAATTCCTTGTCAGTTAAAGCTTCAAGAAGGAAGGGAACATTTTGTCCACAAGTAACACCTAGCCAACGTTACGTATACCACGAAAATTGCTTCCGACTCGAGGACCGTTGCCTTTCCTAGTTATGAAACGTTGTCCAAGGTACTCCCTACAGCCTAGACGCATTTAACAGAGTCATTTTTGAGAAGATAACAACCGTTCACTTGGTTAATAAAGTCTATGCATTTCATGAAATCCGAACACTCATCGCTGCGTTCAAAAGTCCGTTTCTAGATCTTATTCTAAGCCAGATGAATCCAATTCACACCAGCAGNTAAAAAAGTGTCACATTTGACGGAAGGAACTTGATTGTTAATTTTCATCTCCTTTAATAACACTGGACAAAACATTACAGTATGTTTTATAATAATATTTCAGATCTGGCTCATACTGTGCTGAATCCCTGGGAAATTAGANCCTCGTCACCACCTGCCTTACATGTTTCGGCTCACCACGGAGCCATCATCAGAGGCATTTATAATAGAAAAAGAAATCACCAACACACAAAACTACAGCTACAGCTACAAAAAGCTACAGTGGTGTGTGGAAAACTTTTAGTGAACCGACACTCTGGGTAATTTTAACTATTTGTAATTATTTTAATTAACTGGTACGTGGCTATCTTGGACAAAGTGAAGTTTTGTGTGTTGGTGATTTCTTTTTCTATTATAAATGCCTCTGATGATGGCTCCGTGGTGAGCCGAAACATGTAAGGCAGGTGGTGACGAGGTGGAAAACTTAAAAAAGTGTCACATTTGACGGAAGGAACTTGATTGTTAATGTTCACAATAGTTAACCTCTCTATTCTATTCTATTCTGAGACAACGTAATTCGGTCTAAGCCTACAGACAATATTCATTTAAGTAGTGGCCATCTGCTCATAAAGTAAAAAGTAAGTAAAGGTATCCCTATAACAGTACGTGGAGGCCCATATGGTTAAGAGATGTTGAGGGTCCCACATTTTCTAGACAATCGGCTCAAAGATGGCGGTAAGGATGTCAGCCTTACGCGCCGGCCGCGCTTTACTCTCCAGAATTATTTAATTAATTCCTGGTACTCGTTTCTGTCAGAGGACGAGTCGACTCCAGGGCCCTAGTGCGGCTATCTGCTCATAAGTCTCTCAAATAATCTCTAACTTTAAATTTACGGGACATATGTTGTACGGTATTTCCGATTTTTGAAAGGAGAATCGCTCTGTGGAGAGCTTCAGTCTATATAGGTTGTTCACTTCCGGTCACGAGCCAAGACTCACATCCCTAAAACATGTTAAATTACAGCTTTGCACATTTTAATAATTAGGTTTATATTTTTAGAGATAAATTGGAAAGGCATGATATTCTGAAATGAAAGGTAGCAAACATTCATCAAGTTTAATCTGTTATATATTTTTTTTCGAAAACGTAAATTCAACTACTGTTGTTCCTGCATATTTGAACTTCGGGAAATTTTCGAAAAATCATTTATTAGCCGTGTTTATACCATATTGTAACTTAACTCCTCATTTCCCTTATGCTCTAAACCGGAGCAAACAGACAAGGTGGCAGCTGCTCTGATGCTAAGGAACAAAGAAAGGAGAAACAAAAAGGCGAAGTGTGATAAAGATAAAAATTTGAAAAAGTACGATGGATAGAATTAAGAATGAATGGAAGGAATAAACAAAAAGGGAAGGAAGAAAGAAGTAGAAAATAAAAAAGGAAAACAGAAGAAAGAATACAAAGAAGCAAACGACGATAGAAAATGAGAGAAAGTGAAAGGCAAGTATGAAGGAAGGAGGAAGACAAGAAAGAAAGAAAGAAAGAAAGAAAGAAAGAAAGAAGGAAAAGATGAAGATATGTGAAATTACTGAAAGCGAAAGCGAGAAAAAGAAAAAGGATAAAACTAAATAAAACTGGATGAAAACAAAGAAGGAAGAAAAGAAAAAGAAAACAACAACGCGATGAATTAATAACAATTAAGTAGACATGTATGCAAACAGTAACTATACAAAATAAATAAATATGGGAAACTGCTGCAATAAATACTCGCGGTTAGAAAATGGCCAAAGTGAGAGAAGTCGTACTGTTGGTAGACATGCGCCGCGCAAGGTAGACTACTTCTCCAACACCTCTGTGCTGCGCGCATTCTGAGCAGGCGTCCCGCTGTAGGATCGGATTTAGTGCCAATACAGTCCACATTTCGCAAGACTTGGAACTACTATATCATGAAATTCTCATGAGGTATATAACGGAACTTTAAACATTGCATAGAAGACGAACTAAGGGAAAGGAAACAAGAGATGTGTAAACAAGAATGCTTCTTAGGCCCAAGATTCACTGGGTCGATAACAGAAGAGAGAGAAGTGTCCTTTCTTCTGGGAAATAACGCCGCAGTCCGCTGAAAGTCAAATGACGTTTCGGAGGAATATATCGTCTCCATCTTGAGGACCGAAGAATGAGTCGAGCAAGAAACTAGCGTGAAAGCAAGTGGTAAGTAAGTAAGATGGAGGCGATGTATTCTTCTGAAATATTGGTTGCCTTTCACCGGACTTCACGGCATTAATCCAAGAAAATAGGAATCTTCATATCCATCGCTGTGAGAACCTCAGTCCCACACAGAGGAGAATGTTTATAACTGAGTGAGAGGAAGAGAGGAAGTTATGGGAGAATGGAGAAAATCACGTAATAATGTTTCACCTAATTTGTACTTTTCTCGGGGTACGCGGTAGCGTAGTGGTTAAGGTGCTATGCTACAAGCCGGAAGGTCGCGGGTTCAAGTCCCGATGAGGCCAATGGACCGTACTAGGCCCTGGGGTTTACTCAGCCTCTAACAGCAATGAGTACCAGGAATTAATTAAATGATTTTCTTGGGGAGTTAAGCGCGGCCGGCGTGTAAGGCTGACAACCTTACCGCCATCTTTGAGCCGATTGTCTAGATAATGTGGGACCCTCAACGTCTCACAACACTATGGGCCTTCATGGCCTGGTACAGGGATAGCTTTACTTTTTACTTTTTTTACTTGTACTTTTCATCTCACAATATTTTGGTGATAAGAAAGGGGACGAGATGAGAGTGACAAAAATCTGAAATGCGTGCACAGTTGCAGACGAAGAACATCAAAGGACGAGGTCAATCAGAAGTCTTGAGAGGAAATATTTAAAATTAAACTAGAGGAAGATTGTGTAAGGATGTGGATGGTATTCGACTGACTCAGAACAGAATCCACAAACTTGATCTTGTGAACAAGGTGATGAACCTTCGGTAACCACAGAACGATAGAAATTTTATCAAGTGTGTCAACTTACCACGAAATATCTTAGATTATAAAGTTGCATGCGTCGGGCAAGTTATTCTGCAACAGATGCTGATGTTTGCATCTATCTCACAGTTCATTTCCATTTCTCAGGAGTGCTTCATGTCGAACTGAGAGATATAATTAACTCGTCTTTTATTTTGCCCTCCGTACAGCCTTTTCGCGGTATTTGCATAAAATGATTGGATTGAATAATGAGAGATTCTCTCAGGACGTCCATCTCTTTAGTCTCTGAAACTACTCGGCGTATTTTGAATATATTTGTTACCCACAGCAATTCTTGGTGCTTTGATGGCGTTTCATTCCATCTATACCAATCCAGTGTAATCCATACTTTTAGGCTGGGGCCACACGAGTGCATAAAATGCGTCCCTTGTAACGAACGTCGTGACGTCCGTTGTAGAAATAAACAAGAGAGGCGAATGCTACGCTTTCTTCTGGCTCCACTGCAGACAAAAAACTACGCACCGCATTCTGCAACTGTGTGGTGTTCTCAGCAACGTCCGTCATAAAGTATGTTCGTTACAACGTACGCATTGTGTGCGCTCGTGTGGCCTCAGCCTAAAAGAGTCACAAATCTAACCTCACTGAAAGTTACTAAGACTGGTACATAATATAACATATTGATCTCAGTGAAATAATTTATATTTGGAATATTACTTACTTACTTACTTACTCATGGAGCTGAGCCCTTCTTGAGGAACCGCCAATTCTGCAGCTACTCAAGAATTTCCCAGCATTTCATGGAACGCGAAAGTTCATTACCGTGTTCACAAGAGCCCTCCACTGGTCCCTATCCTGACCCAGATCTATCCAATCCGTACCATCCCATCCTATCTCTCTAAGATTCATTCTAATATTGTCCACCCACCTACGCCTTGGTCTTCCCTGTGGTCGCTTTCCTTCTGGCTTTCCCACCAATACGAGTATACTAAAAGCATTCCTCGTCTCCCCCATTCGTGCTACATATATTTGGAATATTATGAACCCAAATAGAGAAACGATAATTTATTATCGAGTTTCATACTTGAAATTCTGAAAGAACAGTCCAAAATCCGCAGTACATGAACATCGAGGCTAATGAAGTATGAAAATTGCAAAGAAATAATTTCGAAAATACCTATGCATTAAATTAGAGTACGAATTTCCCCAAATGCTAATATTTTAAGTAACTACACACAAAAATCAACTGGAAGTGAATTATTAAAGTGAAAATCAAGACAAAGATGAAGAAAGCAGTCTTCTGGGATTTGGCACCGTGTATAAGTGGTGTTAACCGACGTCTGCTTTTACCGTTCTCACGGTCTTGTCGCTTGCAGATTTCTTATACTTTTTCTTCTACCCTGAAGATGGAGGCGATACGTTCCTCCGAAACGTCGGTTAACACCACTTATACACGGTGCCAAATCCCAGAAGACTGCTTTCTTCATAGTCACCGCCGTGAAAGCCTCAAATCTTACAAGACAAAGATGTTCACTTTAACTTAACGAAGTGTAACAATGGAAGAATGGAGTTCATTTAGAAGAACTGATCTATAAGTCGGATCTATAACAAGATTAGAAGCCTATTGATATGTTACTCTATTACGAAAGCAGGAGATCCCGAGCGGTGCAAGTCTTTAGTCCCATAATTCTCAGGCAGAAATTTTATGTGAACAAAATATCATGGATAAGTTAATTTAAATTAACATCAACGCTGTGTTTGTAGCTTACATAACAATAAACAAAAAAAAAACTCCTTGTCCTGCATTCCGCAAGCGAACTATACCGACCGAGCGTCCACCGTTTGTCTGCGAAGTTAGTGCTAACTTTTGCCGATAGAGGGTGTCACGTGGTCGGAGCAACGGATCCCCACGGCCGTTAATCTCGGGTTTCTAGACCAGAGCCGCTATTTTCTCTAACAGCCCCTCAGTTATCCTCATGAAGCTGAGTGGACCCAGTTCCAGACCCACTACTTCTCAGAAAATCTTGTAGCCTCTGGATCTGTAGCCAGGAACTCTGACCACTAGACCACACAGGCGGTATGTTACATAACAATACTGTCAGTAGCTCAGACTAAAGAGGGTGACAGTGAAAAATGAATTAGAAGGGGTCTGGAAGGAAGCTGTCGTTTGACTTATGGTATTATTCTGGCAATTGCCTGAAAGGACTGAGGAAAACATGGCAAAACTCAGTCAATGTTGACGGTGTCCAAACCGCGATTCGAACCTGGACTCTCCCGAATATAATTCAGAAGTGTTACATCTAAAACTAGGCTGCTACTACCCATATTAATTTTCAAACGTAGCGGGAGTTTTGATTATTGGACCTCTCTAAACCGCTAATTATAGAGTTCAAAGGGGGGGGGGGGGAACAGAAAAAAATAAATATACTCACAATTAAGTGCGCAGCGACGGTGCAACCAAATTTCGCTAACAACATTTAGACAAAGCGCCGACGTGGCAGTTTTGTGGTATGGTAAAGCTGTCCCTGTAACAGGCCGTGGAGGCCCTTAGGGTTATGAGACGTCGAGGGTCCCACATTTTCTAGATAATCGGCTCACAGAGGGTACTGGTGGTTAAGTGTCTGTCATTCACTGTCACTTACCGCAGTTGAGCTCATCAGTTCCCTCCAGACAGTCCCACTTGAAGTCGCATTTGAGACCCTTTGGCAGCGACCGGTTGTCCGAACATAAGATGCTTTCACCAATTACGTCCAGCCCGTTTGCTGCAACATGAATGAAAATGCGGGTTAGTATACACTAACTACAAGGCAAGCTGCTTGTGCTGCGACCGCAACGTTATATTTCGGGATTCTGTCGAATTTATTAACGATTTAACGTGAAGGGGCACTCTTTGAAATTGCAACTTTTCTTCCTGATCTCAGACGCTTGGTGTGCTACGTTGTCGCAGTTTTATTAACGTTACTTCTACGATATTTTTGACTAGTTTTGAAGGGATAGTCTCTGTTCAGGCAAGCTTCAGATCCTGTAGGTAACGCCTGTTTAGGGCTCCGACCAATAGCAGCGAGGGCACTCCATAGAAGCGGCTGCAATCCTTTGGTGTTAAGTCCTCAACAGTCACGGAGAGAGTGAAGAAATTAAGGGAAGGAGTGAGAAGAGGAGGCAGCCCTTACAACCGGAAGAGGATAGTCCTATCAGGGTTCTTACGTTGCAAGGCGCTGCTAATATGTTCAGAGGAAATGACGGTAATCGAGGGTATATAGGAATTTATTCAGTTCCTTTAGTCTTGGACGGGTCAGGACTCAGTTTCTGAATAGGTCAAAAAATAAGAATAAAGAACTTTATCTGCAGAAGAAAGTCGTCTTCTGGGTTTAGGCACCGTGTATTCTTCGTTTTGGCCGACGTTTCGGAGGAACGTAGCGCCTCCATCTTCAGAGCAGTTGAATGGCTTGGAATGCAGAGAGCAGTAGCTGTAGTGATAGGATGTGAAAGGCGCTGCTTATATACGAATTAGGCAGGAGGGTTGGTTAGGGAGAACGGACCAATGGGAGCAGTGGAGAGCGATTAAGGCCATATATGGTGTTGTGTGCTAAGGGGGGGGGGGAACGGCCAGTGAATCCAGGAAAATTGAGGTCAATAGCACTAGGAAGTTGCGGTAGACAAGAAGAACCGCTTGACTGGGGACAGGCTACTGACGTCAATGACATGAACTGGGGACAGGCTACTGACGTCAATGACATGAA